ATCGTGTATGTATAAACATTGTTAATTTAAGATGACAGGCGTAACAGCATACGTGAGAGCCAAACACAGAAACTGTAGTAAACAAAACGACCGTCGGTTTTATTGCTTCGACTTCCGCTTATTATATAAAACATTGGGTTTTATTTTAATTCTTGACGGTGAAATTCACAATTGGTTGATTATAAACATGTCTATTTCACATTCGCGGAATCAAGTGAACGCATAAAACAAATGCAGGTCTGTAATGTTAAAGTCGATGTAAATAAGCGTGCTACCCTTATGTTTCAACCGAGTTTTTCCTTTAACAAATTTTGTGTCTACCAAATTGGGTTGGTTGGGGTGTAATACTAATAATAAGTGTTGCCTTTAATTTAATCAATAAAATAAATTGACTTCATTAATTTTTTTGAACCACCTCTTAAGAAAATCTAAAAAATATGAATGGAATGATAAATCACAAGTACAAACTCATCGTATTTTTTGCATTTTAGATAGGATTTATTCAGCAAAATTTAAGGGTGACGTCATCAATTTTTTTAGGAGGGATGAACAAATACATTTTGAACAAAAGTTTACCATGCTTATAATAACTTTAAAATATTCCCAAGATTTCAAAGCATTCGGTTTTGTAATTCCTGATTAAATCGATAAAATAAATTCACGCCTTCATTAATTTTTTTGAGTCACCCTGCATATGCAAATCCAAAAATATGAATGGAATGATAAATCACAAGTACAGACTCATCATATTTTGTACATTTTAGATACGATTTATTCGGAAAACTTTTGAGCTGACGTCATCAGTTTTTTGTAGAAGATAACCAAATATATTTTGACTAAAAATTTATTATGCTCTTTATAACCTTAAAACATCTGCAAGATTTCAAAGCATTCGGTTTTGTAGTTCCTGATTAAATCAATAAAATAAATTTACGCATTCATTAATTTTTTTGAGTCACTCTGTATATGCAAATCCAAAAAATATGAATGGAGTGATAAATGACAAGTACAGGCTCATCATATTTTGTACATTTTAGATATGATTTATTCGGCAAACTTTCGAGCTGACGTCATCAAGTTTTTGGAGGGGATAAGCAAATATATTTTGACTGAACATTTATTATGCTCTTTATGACCTTAAAACATCTGCAAGATTTCAGAGCATTCGGTTTTGTAGTTCCTGATTAAATCAATAAAATATATTTACGCATTCATTAATTTTTTTGAGTCACCCTGTATATGCAAATCCAAAAAATATGAATGGAGTGATAGTTCACAAGTACAGACTCATCATATTTTGTACATTTTAGATATGATTTATTCCACAAACTTTTGAGCTGACGTCATCAAGTTTTTGGAGGGGATAAGCAAATATTTTTTGACTAAAGATTTATGATGCTCTTTATAGCCTTAAAACATCTGCAACATTTCAAAGCATTCTGGTTAGCAGATTAAAAATTAAATTTCAAAATGTTGTTTTATAATTTTGATTTTTTTTCCAAAAATCTGGACGTTTCGGGTGAAAAGTCGATTCAGAGTTGTAAACTACATGTGTAGGACTATGTTATTTTATACAATTGAAAACCCATTTACTATGTACAATTTTGAAGTGACGTCATCGCTTTAGTGGTGGGGATGATTCGACAAATTTTGGTTAGCGTTTTACCATCTACATGATATTCTTAATATAAGTACAAAATTTCACAACAATCGGTCGAGTACTTTCGGAGATTATCTGTCTAATAAAAATCCGTGACAACAGACGGACAGACGGACAGACGGACGGACAGACGGACAGACGGACAGACGGACAGACGGACAGACAGACGGAAATGGGAGACCTATTTCTTCGTCTTCTAGGGGTCATGAAAGATCGAGAAAACGTAAAAGTAGAGAGTCGGCCGACGGACTCGATTACAATACTTCCTTTGCTTACGCTCGGGAAGTAAAAAACACAAGTAAAAATCATCACATTTTGCATATTTTGAGTAGAATTTATTCGGCAAAATCTTGAAATGACGGTGAATAAAAAGATATATTTTGATTAATAATTTACCAAGCTTACAATAACTTTAAAACATCTGCAAGATTTCAAATTGCAATTCTTGATATTCAATAAAATAAATTGACTGATTCATTAATTTTTTTAAATGACCCTGTATAAGCAAATCTAAAAAATGAGCTTCCCAATTTGATCAATAAAAAATTGGTCGAAGGCTATAAGTATAATCCGACAAATCCAGCTCTGTAAAAAATATATAAAATTTGATTTTACGCTTTTCGCTTTGTGATAAACGCTGTAAAGTACTTAAAAACGATAGGCATAAATAGCATTCCTTGTCCCCCATTAATAGCAATCTGACGCCCAAGTGTTTATTTATGTTTATACATCGCAAGAATGTCACATAGAAATTAGTTTGATTTGAATGAGTTTGCCTTCTCAAAACACAGGACTAAAAGTATTAAAAACCACAATTGAACAAAATGTTCTAAATATTATAATTCTTATTTTATAATTATTTTATTAAAATTATAAAGACGTGTTTTTCACATTTTGAAGAAAATAGGGTGACCCGTTCTTAATTTGATCAATAAAAAATTGGTAATGAAGTCATCAACATGGTTAACACTAGTCACATCACAAAAGAAAGGTATGCGCGTATATGCAAGAAAAAAAAGTAAACCGGCCAAGTTCGGCATCGAACCACTACCGTTTGTCGCAGTTCTGTCTTTGCAACTTTGCTACTGCGCTAGGAGGACTTTCATCTGGTTTTTGTAATATATATGACGGTATTTCCCTTGGAAATGTTTTTTCGAAAATTTGAACGTTTAGCGAAAAAATTGATAGCGGAATCGTAGACTACAAGTACAGGAGTATATTTTTGTGTATCATTAAAATTATTTTAACAATCGGTCCAGCAGTTTCGGAGATTACTTGTCTAATTAAAATGGATGCAGACACTAGACAGACAGACCGACGGACGCACGGACGGACGCACGGACGGACGGACGGACGGACGCACTTTGTGCCGAGTATTTTAAAGCTAAGAGATTTTACTGACGTATTTTGTATTCAATTTTTCCGGATATCGTTAAAAAAAAAAACGAAATTTACAAATATTAAAATTTTTTTTTACAAATTCCACAAAAATCAAGTGTGTCAATTTTGTTGACAACTATTAAGTTGTATTACAAAGTAAACAACATCGAAAAAAATTCATCAATTTTGTGCGTGTGTTGTGAAAACAGTGTTAATTCATAAAATAATGATGAAAGAAGACGAAAATCATTGTGAGGGCATTCCATTTGATGTGAGTGAAGCTGCGGTTGTTGCTACTAACGATCTATTACCGTGTAAATCAAAAGACCAGTATGAAAGGGCATTCCAAATTTTCGAAGATTGCCGTCGAGAAAAAAAGTCACTTTACTTACCGAAGAAATATTTCTTGGGTATTTTGCGGAAAAAGCAAGTTTGCAGAAACCTATAAGACTTTGGACCGTATATTCTATGGTAAAATTTCGACTGGGACTTTTACTGAAAATTTGAAGTTCGGTCATGAATCACTATCGGTAATCAATATTTGAAACATAACAAGTCCCACGATTCATATTAATATTTCTAATTAATAGTTTTGAATACATTGTTCTTTTTTAAAGTATCTTTTTTATTTTGCGTCTTGCAAAGTCTTTACAGTACTAGTCAGGAAAATTCAATTTTCCAGCGCGTAGATACGCAGGGAAATGTTGTTTCTATGACGATTTCCGGAGAAAGCAATTACCTATTTTGAACGCAAAGTAGAAAAACTTCTTTTCACAATTGAGTGCTTAAGATTAGTTTGCAAGACAAAATTGCTTCGATGCAATGAAAAGTGTATGTACTTACTGAGTAAATGCGGTTTGCAAACCGCTTAGAAGTTCTCTTCTTTGAATGTAGTGAATTCGTCGATGATTTTTAAACAGTCGTGTATCACTAGGTAAAGGAAATGGAAAATCGCATTCTCCTAAGGCGTTCCATCCTCTGGGTTGCGACATCATCAAGGCCTTTACGTACGCCATAGATATCTACGGACAATTTCTATAGAAGAGTTCTAATTAATTAAACTACGAATAGTAGATTTTAATAACGAACGAAGTTTAATTAGTTTAAAAAGCCATTAATTTCATACCAAACCCGTGTGTCGCTCTTTTATCGATTACTGTCGCAAGTGAATCTGAGGATTTGTGTTAAAGGTTGAACCATTCCATCTTGTTGGTCACAGCATGTTTTTTTGCTAATCCAATTGTCATTTTTTGAAAATATTTAATAATAGGTACCCATTGTGCAATTTAAAATTATTTATATTTTAGCGACTTTATAACTTTCAGCCTCGTTTAACTCACCCTCAAGTGTGCAAAGCTTGAAGGAAATTTGCATGCAGACATCCTGAAATCCTTGAGCTCCTGATACCTCTCTGAATATTTTAACCCCCAAAACGACTTTAAAATTTAAAATAAAGCACTTCTGTTTCTTTCTCCAGTTACAGAGAGGGGAGAAAATCCAATTAAAATATCTACTTACCACAAAATTGCTTTTCATTGGGAAAGCTAAGTAGCGCTTTTTCCTTAACAATAAAGGATTTTTTTTTACTACATTCGTTACTTGAGACAACGTTGTTGCAATTAAAACACCAATTAAGACAATTCTTGTCAATATCATTTTAACCGGTGCACTATCGGTGGAACGTTAGGAAAGTTCTGAATCAATATTTAAGTAACGAAGACGGCTAGCTGGCAATAAAAAAGTTCACGAGTATTTGCTAAAACTCTTCATAAATATGACTTTGTAAATAGTCCATTCACCGTAATCATAATAAATACTTATTACATAATAATTTTAAGTTTGCGAGAACGAAATAATCATTTGTGTCATAACTATGTCCCAAACTCCGTTACAATATAAATCAGTGTAGATGTGTCCATTTTGTGAATTTTTGTTTCGAAAAATATTAAGTGAAAATCGATATTGATTTGCGGCAGACGGATACTCCATTCGGAAATTCGCTTACATTCAGGGAAGTCTACGACATCTAATTAGGAAAATATTGGAGAAATTCCCCGGAGTGATATAAAAGGCCCCCAATTCTGAACACGAAATAAAACCTACAACATTTAGGTTGATGACAAGATAACAAAAAAACTCTGAATCAAGATCCAATTAGCACTGTAAATCTTGCATCGTCTGGAACAATATACCGCTACATGTCGGGTTTACTCAACTGTAAACGTTATTTAAATTACTGTACATAATGTCAAAATCTTCATCCATCTGTGGTAACATAACCAACAAAATACAATTCCATAAGAAATAATGCAAGACACAATCATCAAAATGTTTCTGCCATTATTTTTTTTGATGCTGTTGAGTATTATCCCAATTACAAATGGTATAAATTCCGAATACAAACACCGAACAAAACGCAAAGTCGTTTTTAGTAAAAGTAGTAAATTTTTCGTAAGTATTGTAATCAATGTTTTGCAGTTTGACTGGAAATTGTGCTACAGTTTAGGTTGAACGGGAAGGATAATGTGCTGAATTACACGGAAGTTTTTGCCCATGGTTGGACTATCAGAATGAATTACGATTTGCCTGAAAGTATACCCAGGAGACACCAATTTTTTAAGAGGGATGTTCACGCTGAATTAGATACTATTACAGATGAGTAGGTTCATACTTCTGCAAAATGTCGGTTGGATTGTTCACATTTTTTTAGGTCTATTCTTGGTGTGTATTCTTGCGTTTTGAAATACATCTGTGAAAGCGTGGCTAATTTAAAAGTGGCAGATAAATGCGGCATGTTTTGCGAAATAGGCAGCATTATCGCAAGGTAATAACTAACTAGTATTTATTATCACAAGATTTACAACTAACAAGTTTCAGGACTGCTACAATGGAATCAGCTTTTTTTAAATCGTTCATAGATAAATGCGATTATCATATTGATAATTGTCCCTATTTATTGAAAAACAGTGTTCTAGGATATGTATAGTACCAATTTTAGTTTAACGATAGTATAAGTTATTACAAAACTATCTTAATAACAATTTAAAATTAAAATTTTAATCTGAATTTGTTTTAATGTGGCCTACTGCATTTTTAAAACGCATTGTTATATTCATTGAAAAAATTTAATGTTCATGTCTATTTTATCTTGCCTTAAGTTCTCACTAGGATCACATGAAATCCATATTACTTATAAACTTTAAAAATAAAAAAAATTCTGACCTACTCCATTCTTTTGTTTGTATATTTAGTTAAATTCAATTAATTTTCATCCAATAATTTTCATGTTTTTACTTCCCGAGCGTAAGCAAAGGAAGTATTGTAATCGAGTCCGTCGGCCGACTCTCTACTTTTACGTTTTCTCGATCTTTCATGACCCCTAGAAGACGAAGAAATAGGTCTCCCATTTCCGTCTGTCTGTCCGTCTGTCTGTCCGTCTGTCCGTCTGTCCGTCTGTCTGCCGTCCCGGATTTTTATTAGACAGATAATCTCCGAAAATACTGGACCGATTGTTGTGAAATTTTGTACTTATATTAGGAATATCATCTAGATGGTAAAACGCTAACCAGAATTTGTCTAATCATCCCCACCATTAATGCGATGACGTCACTTCAAAATTGTACATAGTAAATGGGTCTTAAATTGTATAAAATAACATAGTCCTATACATGTCGTTTACGACTCCGAATTGAGTTTTTACCCGAAACGTCCAGATTTTTGGAAAAAAAATCAAAATTATAAAATAACATTTTCCAATTTAATTTTGAATCTGCTAACCCGAATGTTTTGAAATGTTGCAGATGTTTTAAGGCTCTAAAGAGCATCATAAATCTTTAGTCAAAATATATTTGGTTATCCCCTCCAAAAACTTGATGACGTCAGCTCAAAAGTTTGCCGAATAAATCCTATTTGAAATGTACAAAATATGATACGTCTCTACTTGTGATATATCACTCCATTCATATTTTTTGGATTTGAATAATGAATGCGTCAATTTATTTTATTGATTTAATCAGGAATTACAGAACCGAATGCCGTGAAATCTTGGAGATATTTTAAAGTTATCATAAGCATGGTAAATTTTTTATCAAAATTTATTTGCTCATCCCCCCCTAAAAAAATTGATGACGTCACCCTAAAATTTGGTAAATAAATCCTATCTAAAATGTGAAAAATATGATGAGTCTGTACTTGTGATTTATCATTCCATTCATATTTTTTCGATTTGCATATACAGAGTGACTGAAAAAAATTAATGAATGCGTCAATTTATTTTATTGATTTAATCAGGAATTACAGAACCGAATGCTTTGAAATCTTGGAGATGTTTTAAAGTTATTATAAGCATGGTAAATTTTTTATTAAAATGTATTTGCTCATCCCCCCTAAAAAATTGATGACGTCACCCCAAAATTTTGCTGAATAAATCCTATCTAAAATGTACAAAATATGATGAGTCTGTACTTGTGATTTATCATTCCATTCATATTTTTGGATTTGCATGTACAGGGTGACTCAAAAAAATTAATGAATGCGTGAATTTATTTTGTTGATTTAATCAGGTATTACAAAACCGAATGCTTTGAAATCTTGGAGATATTTTAAAGTTATTATAAGCATGGTAAACTTTTGTTCAAAATGTATTTGTTCATCCCTCATAAAAAAATTGATGACGTCACCCTTAAATTTTGCTGAATAAATCCTATCTAAAATGCAAAAAATATGATGAGTTTGTAGTTGTGATTTATCATTCCATTCATATTTTTTAGATTTTCTTAAGAGGTGGCTCAAAAAAATTAATGAAGTCAATTTATTTTATTGATTAAATTAAAGGCAACACTTATTATTAGTATTACATTGGACCAACCCAATTTGGTAGAACCAAAATTTTTTAAAGTAAAAGCTCGGTTGAAACATAAGGGTAGCACGCTTATTTACATCGACTTTAACATTACAGACGTGCATGGTGATTTCTTATAAAGCATGTAAACGCGTTCTTTCCGTATTATTAGTTTTTTTAGGTAGAGCAGCAACTCGTAGATGACGATCTTGGTGTACTGGGGTTCTTTGAGGGCGACCAGATCCACGAATTCGTGTATGCACTCCATCCTGCGACTATCTAGTCCAACTTGTAACACGATTTAAAAACCACGGCCTATACGATTCGCAATTTGCCTTATTGAAAAACCGACTTCCTCGTGCCGACAATGTGACCTCTTCCAAAATCAGTTAATTGTCGAAAATAAACCGGCTTACGGAGACTTTTCAAATTGAGTTTTGCACGATAGTCCACAAAATTTTTGTACAAGTGATACAGCGAAATTTTGCTAGAGGAAACTTTTTATTCAAAAGGTAAAAAGGTAAAGTCAGATAGCTGATATTTTACTCATTTCGTCCATGACTCTCCACATAACGGTTTTGAGAATTTGGATCAAAACGCCCAACTCCTTCAAGGTGTTCGGATTTTTATGAAAGGTGGTATATTAATTTAGAACCAGATACAAAAATCAGGATTCCGTATGCGAAGTACTAAAAAAGTTAAAACCTGCACAATAAGTTCGCCAACCAACCACTTCAATCTCGGTAGAGTGACTAAAATTTTTAGCAAAATTTTGCAGCCAAGTGCTACCCCTTCTGATTAAAGGGGATACCTCCTGACCAAACACTTCCTCTCGGTGATTTTTCCGCCAGAAAATGACGGCTGTCTCTAATAAACACAAGAGAAAAGTTTCCCGACAATGGGATGTTCTATACGTGTAACAAAACTACATCAAATCCTTTAGCTCTAATTATGTTGTAACAGTATTGGATAACTTACAAAATATCTGAATTTTTTCGTAATACACATCTCAAAAATATTGAAATTTTTCAACATTTTCTCAACCACTGCTAGGTGACAACATTTCTATATGTTTTCCTAAAGGCATTAAACGAAAATGCCACGCATACTCTAGTTTTAATGAACTCCCATTGGGGATGTTGGCAGAATATCACACAAAATTAGGAGACGTCGTTATTGGTAATAACAAACTATCTGTCTTAATTTCATTTCTAAATTTTCTCGACCTTAAACAGTGCAACGGCGTCGCTAACATCAATGATAGATACTTAGACTTAGTGCTCTCAAACATACAGTGTTATATCGATAAAGCGAAAGATTATCTACTACCTGAAGATACACACCACCCCTCACTGCTTATTTCTTTGGAATATCATCAACCAAAAGTAAAGGTTATAAGTAACTCTAAATCTTCACAAAAACGCTGGAATTTTCGTAGAGCTGACTTTCCAAATTTATATCGTCATTTAGATGAGATAAGTTGGTCTTTCTTGGAGAACGTTAAAGATGTTAATACTGCTTGCTGCCTCTTTTATAACAAACTTAATAGCATATTGGATCTTTATGTACCCAAATCTCAGCATTATTGTAATAATTCGTTTCCACCATGGTTCACTTGTAGTATTATTAGAAAAATCAAGCGAAAATGGAGACTATGGCGTAAATATAAATCCCACAAAAACCAACTAAATCTACAGCATTTTAAAACTATTCGTAACGAGCTTAAACATGACATCAAAATCGCGTATTAGTTGTATACTCAAAATCTGGAAGCCACTATTAAGACCGATCCAAGATAATTCTGGGCGCATATTAGTCGTCTGAAAATGCGTTCTGGTATACCTTCTGAAATGATTTATTTGGATAATATTTTGCGTAATCCCAAAGACATTGTAAATGCCTTTATGGAACACTTTCACTCCAGTTATTCGGATTTTAGTCCAAGTTCTATTGATGAGTTTATTGATGAGTCCAGCAATAATTCCATTAATTTTATTTCGGTTACGGAATCCAACGTCTTTGAAACCTTGATGACTATCAAACCTAATATGACTAGTGGCCATGATAATATACCAGGTTTTTTATTACATGACTGTGCGTCAGTGTTTTCTTATCCTTTGTCAGTTATATGTATTTAATATTATTTTGAAAACTGCATCGTTCCCAGACGTCTGGAAATTATCTGTGATCTCACCAATTTTTAAGAAAGGGGAGAGACATTTAATAGAGAATTACCGACCCATCTCATTGATTTGCAATTTTTCAAAGATTTTTGAGATGATTCTTCATAAATTTCTCTCATTTAATGTGCACAATTGGTTAACGGAATCCCAACATGGATTCATAAGTGGTCGTTCTACTGTAACGAATTTTAGTTGTTTCACCCAATTCGTAGCCAATAGTTTCGATGCTAAACAGCAGGTGGACGTGATATATACTGATTTTTCCAGGGCGTTTGACAAACTCAACCACAGAATTCTACTGATAAAATTACGCAACTTTGGCTTCTCCGATTGTTTACTGAAATTAATGGCATCTTACCTAACTGGTAGATATCAATGAGTGAGGTACCTTCAACATCAATCCGAAACAATTTTGGTCCCGTCCGGCGTCCCACAGGGCTCTGTTCTAGGTCCGCTACTTTTCAATATCTACATCAACGATGTTATTAAAAACATTAGTTCTCAAGTTTTAATTTACGCAGACGACCTAAAAATCTTTCGTCATATTATTAATGTTGAAGACTGTCAAATTCTACAGGAAGATATTCATACTTTTGAAAACTGGAGTAAATCTAACATGTTACCTATAAATTTTGGCAAATGATTCATTATGTCTCTAACAAATAAAAGTTGTAAGCTTAGTTTCAATTACACTATTAACTTGAATATCTTATCAAGAGTGGATTCCTTCAGAGATCTTGGAATAATGTTTGATTCTAAACTCACGTTTTCTCTACATATTAGTAATATAATTGCTGAAGCGTTTAAATCCCTTGGGTTTATCATCAGATTGTCCCGTTCTTTCAATAACATCACTACTTTTAATACGTTATATTGTGCTTTCGTAAGATCAAAACTTGAATACGCCAGTATTGTATGGGCTCCGTCAGCTCAATTTTACATTCAATCTATAGAAAAAAATCC